GTGACCAAACTTGTGCAAACACGTGACATACCCCAAAACTCACGCGATCCAACATGATGGCACGAGTTTCGACGGGAATTCCCGAAAATTCCCGAACAACGAGCGCGTGCCACATCAGCCTTATTTTGCACTTGCTGTTTGCCTTGAGGTGGCGTTTCGTCCCTTGAGGTGGCGTTTCGTCGAAGCTCTCATTTCACCCGCCCCCCACCACCACACTCGACTCCCCTCCAATGCACGCGAACTAACAATTCTGCGTACCCTCTAGATGTAATGCTCGACTTTCCTAGTTACAAACGACATTTCGTGAGAAGAGCGTCAGTTTTGATTCCTTATCTGAAACATCGTTTCTGGGGGTTTCTTTGAGGGCCCCATGCATGAACTGCTTATAAGATCATGTATGTGCCACTCACCCTGATCACGAGTATGACATTCACACTTAGCACAAGCGTCACCTCACGTCACAACAAGAGGACACACAGGGGCAAGGGTAGTCGAGGTAGGGGGCTTTCTTTCGAAATCTTGTAACAGATATATACGCCAGTTTGTCACTTCACGAGAGAGCGCAGGCAAGCAGACGTGACGTGGCGTACTCGCGCCGCTGCCGGCCCTTCAAGCATAATCTGTACCCTACTCTCTAAGACCAGATTTCATGTCGTTTGGGTGGTTACAAATAAACGTGCGTGTGACATTCGTTATCAGGACAGTGTGACTCCTGAACTCCTGGGAAAAGATCTGGCGCTGTCACCAAGACTGTGATATTCTTACAGACCCATAAACCTACATGTAAAGTGAGATAAGAGGATTTTTGATAATTCTATCAAAATGACCCCCATAAAAAGATTCTCCGATAAGTTCATTTGCTTCCCTAGAGCACTAGCTCTCAAAACGATATGTAGCTCTACTTTTGGTGGGAACCTCGTGAAAGATGTTAACCTACCTTCTCTGCAAGGTGGACGAGGTAGTCTATTTAGGAAGAATTATGTAGCCCTGGAAGTTAGGGAGTAGAATGACACTCGGCGAGGCGAGATGTTATACTCATTCTAGCCACCTGAAGAGTGAGCGGTAGCCATCTCTCTAGGAAGGTTCGCTCCGTCACTTCTTTCGTTCATGAGATGCGAGGATGAGAAACCGATGAGCAAATACAACCTCCTAACAATTATTTGAAAAAAAGTGAATATTGGGGGGTCTCCCCGTGCTAATACCTACCCTCTCTGTACTATTCGTGCATTTAACTAGTTTTTGCCCGTCGTTCCCTTCATCTCCCCACCTTGGTCGCGTTACTCGATTCTCATTCTCTTGGTGGCGGCCGGTTCGTCGTTGACGCTGGCGCTCTAGCGCTCCTCCGTTGACTGTCGTGCTGCTGGTTGTTGACGTTATCACTTGGGGTATCTCCCAGCTGCCTGTTTCACATTAAAAGTTCATTTTCTGTGTGTGTGAACGCAACTCTCACTGCACTTTTTGTGTCAATTTTAGTGCGGCAACTGTTACGGCGTAAACAACTCTGGACCATGGATTTCTTGTACCTTCATCTCAAATCTGGTTTTCTCTTGTGACAACAATTTTTCAGACACTTTAAATACCGGAGTTTCCCTTCGAGACTGACAGTTGGCCTCTTGCTGGGGTGGGAGCCGAATCGTCGTTCGTCCTTAATCAAGTCGTTCAATTCTACCGAGGGAAGCAAGCTTCGCCATACACCACGTGAGCTTCAAATGTAAAGGGTCGCCTCTGGGCACATGACATTACTGCGAGGCTTGCTCTGGGATTCAGGGCCACGTTCTTCCGTTGGAAAGTTTTGTCGATCGCGGCCGCTCCTCTGATGCGACCTCACTATCTGTCACCCTCCTACCTCCGTACCTACCATCTTCCCAAGTTCTTCCAAATTCCTACCACTCGTTCTCCCCAGGAGGAGAGCATTCTGCTCCCCAGAAGAGAAGGGGATTACATTGCGCCGGTGAAACAAGAAACCGAGAAAATTCAGCTATCGAAAACATTTTTCTCTGTGGTAATTGTCACCCCCCTCTCCCACCTATTCTCGGGCATTCCCAACACACGACGACCCTGGTCGACATCTCTGTTCCACTTTTTGTTGGTTTCTACTTTCTCTAGCAGACATAACTGGTACTTTGCTTAGTGCTACCGTACCTGAGAACGACTAGTCGACCGCATCTCTGTACATATCCCTTTTCCAGTAGTGGGGGCTCATGGGATCAAAGCAGCTGTCAATCATGACCGCCGCAGAGAAGATACAGCTTTCAGTTAAGTGTTTTAAGCCTCGATTCGAAGGATGGGATTACGGACGAGGCCATGGCGAGTGTTCTCCCTCCCCCTTCCCAAACTAAGGACTAACGTCAAATGCTTTGTTCGCATGTTCATTTATGTTCACACCCTCGTCAGGTTCGTTTGTATGGCGAATCTGGGTAATCGTAGCCAGTGGCCGCGACACATGCCTGGCTGTCTTTCTGTTGATTAACTCTTGGCGTCGTAGAGCTGGGCCATCTTATAGCCGCCATTTCTTGTTAACTTTTCTTTCTCTCGTTTTCTTGATTTTTACGGATTTTATACCGTTGTTGACAAACACACGATGTTTTTGTTATGATGTTGTTATTAGGCGAAGGTCGAAAGCGTTGTTTAAGGGAACCCAGTAAAACAATATAGTGATTTCGTCGTTTCCTGGGCAGACGAGTAGTTAGGAAAGAGTGTCAATATGTACGTGGATACGAGGCACGGTACCAGCCTGCAGTTTTGCGTCAGCTCCAGCGTCATCCACAATCTTCGCTAGCGAAAGGGTCACAGGGCACTTGTCAACTGCGAGGCCTCTCTTTTCCTTCCTTTTTCTTCCTCTTCCTTCTCTTCCTTCTCTTCCTTCCTCTGTTTCCCTCATCCTTCACCGTGCGGGCCTCGCTGAGTACCATTTTGTGCCCTACCAAAGTCGAACTGCGCCCATCTGTGATCCAGGGAACCTGTGAGGTGGCCCATCCATCACGGCGCTCCATTCCCCCCCCCTTAGAAATTGCACACTAACGCTAGCGCTGACCAAAATCGTATACTTGCATCGTTCGTACCCTCCGCATAACTCATAGACCGAAGAACGAATGCAAATGTCTCTGACTAAGATGACATTCCCCACACCATCTCTACTACCGTAACGCTCAGGTCGCCAGTCGCATTTCTGGGCAGAAACTCGTGAAAATATACAAAAACGGAAGAATTCTTCGTCTTTGGGGATATTCCAAGGGGCGAGGGGAGTGGTTTCAGAAACTTGGCTTTTGAAACAATTGCATACAATATGTAATGCTCGTTTCGCTAACGAATATTCAAGGAGATGTTGGGAAGGTATTTCATGTGCGACCGCTACTAATCTTCTTGGGCTCGAAGCCCCCCCTCCCCTCTCTACCGAGCCCTCAGGCGACGTAGAATGGAGTAGGCGTGGCGAACATCAACGTTCTGGAGCCCTTTCACACGTCAGCGACCAATACAACCTTAGCTCCTCCCTCCCCCCCCCACCTCCCCGCCTGACTTTGCCAAAACGGTGGGCTTCGCAGCAATGACTTACAGTTGGTTCTGCCTCGCACTGTTAGCCTGTTGAAGGTCTGGGGAAGCAGTGCTTCTTGACTGGTGGCGAACTTCGTAGACGCAGCCTGGCTGAAAAGCGGCGATCCAGGTGCAAAGGTCAGACCGTCAACAAAAGTCCTTCCTAGCAATCCAGTTGGCACCCGTAAACCATAAAATCTGAAGAATGCTTCGCTTGCAAAACTTATCGCTGCCAAGCTAATGCGCTCGAAGATCGCGCCAGACTGTCACGTTTGCGTTACCTGTTCTAACAAACTCCCCTATAGTTAAACGGGCGCGTTCCGTCGCCGGCCTCTCAGGGTCCGAATCCGCCATCATGTTACGTTCATTTCTTACCTCCGCACTGGCCATGAGCGGCATTTTCTATTCTGCCATGTCATTGGCATAACGTACTTATTTACTTCGATGTACTTAGCCCAAGAGCAGGCATATGTTGGCATTTGCACTCCATGGCGCAGTTCGGCGACCGGAGTGGGGCATTTGTACATTTCCGCTAACCTCATAGTGCGGTTCACAAGTCTCACTCTGGTCAAACCTGTGAACGCTTGTTAGGCTGGAGCGAGCTCGTCGGGCCAACAAGGTGAATAGTTCTGTAAGGCATCTCATTACTGTAAACGAGTTGACAGGTGATCTCTACAGGAGTTGACTAGTGGTCTTACCAACTTCGATGGCTTCACAAGACTTCACAGGTTTCCACCTGATCATTCGGCACGTATGGAGGATATATGCAAAGGATGGCAAAAAAGTCCCCCCCCAAGCCGAACGGTGCCCATAGCATTCTATGAAAACTTGTAATATGCAACGCGAACTCCGGTTTTTTTCAATCCCCCCATTCCATCAGAATCATCACACTGCACGATTTATTTTGGTTTTCATCTGAGCGCTGGCGTTTGCATATGCTGACCGGTATATGCATTATGCACGTAATGCGATCGGACGGAATCCCTCCCCCCTCGCTCCATTGCCTCTTCGGATGTCGTCACACTGTCTGCCCGCTTGCTGTTCCATGCCGCCCGCTGCGCCTACCGTGTCAAAATCACTTTAGGAGTTCCATCGCGCTGTGGTAAACACGCTTCTGGCTTATTTTTTGTCATCCCCATTCAATCGCTGAACGAATCATCGGCGGCGGCAGTTCGGCTTCGTGAGGGGGGAGGCATTCTGCACTTTTGCTTCTTTCCATCGACGTGTCGAGCCATCCAGTGGAGACCTGTGAAACCTTGTGAAGCCGTGAAATGATGGTGGCTCGACGAGTTCGCTCCAGCTTCAAAAGAGTTCACAGTTTTCACCTGAATGAACTAGTGAAGTAGTGGAAGTCGTAATGCCCCCCCCCCCTCGGCGCCGCGTCGCTCGAAAATACGCCTTACTCTCTGTTTCGTTTCCAGTATAACTTTGCTCTTTCTCTGTTTCATTTCCTACATAGACTTCACTCAATGTCTCTGTTCCAGGTAATATACCGGGGTTAACCGGATTAAGAGGTGTATTATGTTCTTCTTGACATACGCGTGAAGCGTGGACGTGCTGACTTGTACGAAATTGTCTAGTCCTTGTTCTACTATTGGTAAGTTACTTGTTCAGCACGTCTACAGTAATCAGTACTCAAATCTGCCACTTACAGGTCTTGATTTTAATTTCGTGCAGTTCAAAAGCGTTGAACGCATCCGTAACTATGTCTGCGACATCGAAAGACGATTCTCTTTTCAAACAGATTCTTTTGAGAACTTTCTCCCATGGGAATTTACAAGGTCAGTTTAGCCCTCTTGGGCAGAATTTTCGTTTTGGTTGTGTTAAAATGCTAAAGGATCAAGCCTTAGCTGTTGATCAATCCCTTCTTGGGATGCGGCACGCATTTCTACGTTCTATTAAGAATCGTAGTGGCTGATTGAATGCAACGTACATATAACAGGTGACATGGTGGGACCAGCCAATGAAACAAGCAGTGTTCTCTCCTACATATCTTAGTAGCATAGTGTACCGTCCGCAGCGAAATGTAGAAGGCTTGGTTTGGGCCTGGACGCGGAACGCGACGCTGGGGGTTTATGTACTTCTGATGTTTTGGTAACGAGCTCAAGCAATTCAGACAGAATCTTGCTTCGTTGCTAAAACCGGAAACGTCGGGAAAGCCTAGAGAGGGGGTCGTGTTTGTCCGCTGGAGGGAGGGGGGAAACTACGTTGAGTTTTGACCCAAGTGCTTTGTGAATGTGATGCGGCCTACATAGTGATTTGAATTCTGTTTAATTCTTTTCGTGGTAGTTAAAACAGAGATAGTGAACAGTGGTCGTATCAGAGTAGAGATTGCGAGGGGATGGCATTCTTCCAGAATTTTTCCCCCAACGTGGGACGAGCTGTGAAACCCCCAATCGGGTTTGCAGTAAGTTCAATGGAGATTGGGGCATAATGGTCCTCTGCTATACTTTCCAAGTTCTCTCCCAGGCGAATGAAGCTGTCTACCTTCCAGAGACGGCAAATCAGTACCTGATTCGTCTGGGAGGATAAAAACACTGACTAGTACATCAGCTGGTCTCTGCAAGTCGCTGTATAGGCCGAACTGCATTCAGTAGCATACCTGACGGGAGGGTGCCAAGCCGATATACGTGTTTTTATTTTCCCCCGTTCCTCCAGACGCCTGATACCAATGCAACCCCGTTCCGGGAAAGGTTGGAAGCTTCAACTGACTTGTGCAGGCGATTTTGAAAACTAGTAAGGGCAGGAAGTGAAATAAGCCTTCAAAATTCACTGTCCTACTGAGCCTATGTTGACACACTCGTAAAACTCACTTTTACACTGAAGCTGGAATTCCCAAATTTTCGCGTATCCAGATTGATAACTTTCCACCATCACCCTCGACAGAGAAACTTCTATCTATTCATGTTGTTTGCAATAGCTTGACCGTTTTCCATTTCAGGTGCGGCAACAGCGTCAGCAACGGAGAAGCCGCAACTGCCTCAATCGGCATCATCAGATCAACCTTCAAAACAACAGCGTCAGCAACGGAGAAGCCGCAACTGCCTCAATCGGCATCATCAGATAACCTTCAAAACAAATGTAAGTTGAATTTGTATAGTTTTCTGGTTTATAGTCATCCTAGAAAAGAAAAAATGGCAAAAATCGCGGCCCTAGACCTTCATCGTAGAACCAAGCACCGAGAAATTTGCTAAAGGAGCTTAGGAACATCGTACCGTGAATGGCTTCGGAGGATTCCCTAACCGTCCCGTTGGAAGCGGCTACTTCTGAAGAGGAGGTAGGAAATGGGTTGGTTATTCATCTACCCTTGACAATTATGAACGTGACCGTTTCACTGGGCTATACCGAATTCGTCTGGGAGCAGTCGCACATGATACTACAAGAGTACTGGGTTATGGGTAGAAGTCGACCCCGAACTGGACTCGAATCCGCACCTCCACGCTTTCCGGGCGAGTGAGCTATCTGTCATGCCACCAGGGCTCTTACATTCTCACCTCAGTGGTTGAAAGTGCAAGTACTGTGTGGCTATGGCACAAAAAGCCATTGAGCTGGGAGGATGAGAGCAGCCCGGTGGCGCAGCAGATATCGAAATCGCCCAGAAACGTTAGGTGCCGGTTCAAGTCCCGCCCCGGTCAAGAACTCTGTCTATAAGTCAGCATTCTCGAGGTAATAATTTAATTTACATGCAGAATCACCGAGCGCCATGCGGTGGAAATGCTTTCATCCCGTTCACTCGCTGTTCAAACGCGTTATGGCCAACGGTCCTCGGTTTGGCCCCAGGTGGAACAGTGAAGTGCCACTTCGAGTCCTGCCTGAGGTCAAGACTTTTGCTCATAAATCAGCATTTCTCCGGTAGCTTTGGAAACGCGAACTGTGGTGTTAGACAGCAGATTTTTGAATCAAACATCAGTCCCCAAATGAGCTCAAAGAAAATACGATTGGGAAAAGGGCTGAGATACCGTAGGCGATTAAGCAATGTACAGCAACAGATTGACCCTGGGTCCTCTGAAGAGCTTGTTGAGTAAGCAGTTTGGGCAACTTCAAGGTAGGACTCTTAGTCCTCTGCCTACGCATCGTCCCATTGCGAAGCTTCCTTATTCACCTGGGAAATTCTGAGCGTCAATTCTTCTGCGTCGCTCGCGCCATTAAATGCATACCTTACCCCGCATGTGTCTACTGAATACATAATTGATTCCCTTGGAGTTCTTTGAGTGATTCACAAATGGGGAACGTGGAGCTGGCGCTGCTTGATG